ACCCATAGCCACTACCAATATAACTGACATTTTTTCAAGCCTACTGTGCCCAAGTGTTCAATAGGAATGTTGGAGATACTATTCATACAAACACAGGGAATGTGTTACAGTAGATCACCCCGAGACCCTGCTGATCTGAAAGTCTAAGATGTCATAATTCTCATTAATTAAGCCAAGGCAAAGAAACCAGTTCAGCTAAGTAAGTTATTCACTCCATGTCAATAAAAATCTAAGATTCTTTCTGTATTTTTTATTATTCAAATAAAGAAACACTACTCAGCACCTTTTACCCGGGAGTTATTTTAAGTACTAAAAGAGATAAAGACAAAGTCTGGTGAGACAGTTCCCTGTCCTCAAAAATGGTAGAGGTACTAATGACACTCACACAAGGCAGGACGCGGTAAATATTACCAAACAGGTACAAAGTTCTATAACAGCACAAAAAGAGGGAGAGGTTACTTTTTATTAGAAGTTCATAGGACAGGTGATAGTTCAGCTCTGTTTGAAGGATAGGTAGAAACTGTTGCAGGCAGAGACCAAGGTGATGAGCCTTCATAATTTTCTACTATGTTTCCATAATTCATAAACTCATTTTGTGTACATAGTTTCCATTTTAGAGAGGTGAGGAGTGAAGACTAATTTCCAACATGTGTGTTCCTGTTTCTGAACGCAGTTCATACATGCAACTCTCCTAAGTGCAACTGTGTCATAGAAGTGTTTGTCTTGAGAGCTGTAAGTGCACAATAGCTGCTTTTTTTGTAAGAAAGGTTTAGGGACAGAGACTGAGTTTTTTTTAAAAAGGAGATTGTGATAAGCTGAAAAATATACACAGAACTCTGCTTTGAGAGTGGCTAAATCACCACTTGAACAAGCACAGTATCACAAAGCAATGTATTTGAAGTGTGATTGGTGATACACTTAATGTGTGCACACCATGCACAAAATCTTAGGCGTCTGTGTACCCAAAACCACACTTGTTCTTTTTTTTTTTAAATATATTTGTATTGAAGTACAGTCAGTTTACAATGCTGTGTCAGTTTCTGGTGTACAGCACAATACTTCAGTCACATAGGAACATACATACATTCGTTCTCATATTCTTCTTCATCATAGGTTACAAGATGTTGAATATGGTTCCCTGTGCTGTCCAGTATAAACGTGTTGTTTATGTGTTTTACATATATTAGTATCTGCAAATCTTGAAACCACACTTGTTCTTGATGTAAATTATCTATACAGTAAAAGCACAACTAAACACTCTTTTGTAAATTTGCTTGTGTATTTGACTCAATAGATTAAATATTCATTATAATAGTTAAAAGTTACCTGAAAAAAAAATCCTCTGTCTTACAGCCCCTTACCCACCGCAAAATATCTCAGTTCGTATTGTAAACTTGAACAAAAACAACTGGGAAGAACAGAGTGGCAGTTTCCCGGAGGAACCGTTCATGAGATCACAAGATACAATGGGAAAAGACAAACTGTTCCATTACACGGATGGAACTCCTGAAATTCCCTCTGGCAACATTTCTTCTGGTTGGCCTGACTTTAACAGCAGCGACTATGAAACCGCATCCCCACCATACTGGTGGGACAGCGCATCTGCAACTCCTGACAGTGAAGATGAATTTGTCGGTGTTCTTCCCGTGGAATATGAAAATAACAGTACGCTCACTGAGACTGAGAAATCAACAGCCAGTTCTTTCTCTATTTTCCCTGTACAAATGATCTTGAGTTGGTTACCACCAAAACCACCCACCGCCTTTGACGGGTTCCATATCCACATAGAAAGAGAAGGTAAAGTAATCAGAAACGAGAGGAAATAAGGAACAGTGCAAAGGAAAAGAAATTGAAACAGTTAAAAATGAAATTTAGGAAGAAAGACTGAGGGTACACAGTTAAGATCTAAAGAAAAATGGTGAAGAAAAGGAATAATTTAGCTGAGTATCCAATGCAGACTGAAACCAGAAAACAAAAATGAACAGATTGGGTCAGAATCCAGTTTGGGTAGTTGATAGGTTGCAAGTACGGGCGAATGTGTACGTTTCATTACCTGACACTTCGTGTACCCCAGGACACTGAGGAAACTATATTTGGGAAGATTTTGAATGACAGTTCTAACCATCACAAATTACAAAATATCCTGGGGAGACGTTCTGTTTTCCAGTACACAAACTTGTGAGGAATCAGCAAAAGCATCTTTCTGACAACATGGCTACTTTTTCAAGAGTGTCAGACCTGTGTCCTGCCTATGCAGCTACTCTCACTCCCCTTAGGCTGTGCCCCCTGAAGCCAGCACCACTCACATTTTTCCCAAAGAGGAGCTGGTAGTAGAACAGAAAATAAACAGTAGCTGGTATTTCCACTGAAGCTATTAATATTATATATTGTATCCACTCAGCTGGCATCTGAGGGTAATTCTCCATATTTAACCAACTAATTTATGAAAAGCAGGGCCGTGGCATTCAGTAAATTTGGGTCATGACTCAGATCTGAATTACTGTTTGGTAGGTTTTTATAGTTATTTGCTGTTTGTTTTGTTTTTAACATAATGCACTTCATTTGATACTTTCCAGGCTAGTAGTTTGGGTGGGCAAAGGTTGTCAAGTTGTCAAAATTTGAGGTTAAATTGACAACCTTATTTACAGGGAAGGGCAGTCAAATCACCTAGTCTCATTTTTGACATATCATTTGCCCCTATTTTATTTAACAGAATAAAATACAAAATCTGTGGATTCCTCTATACTGATTATAGAGCAATACATAGACTATAAAGCAATCAGCCATCCCCAAATATATATAAAATTAAAATCCTCCATCATTTCCAATTATTTTAGTCAAAAGTCTTAACATTTTCCTGGAATTATTCATATTTCTTTAAAAAGTTCGCTTAATCTGTCTTTTATTTTTCTGTTCCTCAATATATTGTATGGAAAATAGAGTCTTATAACAGAATTTTTTTAATGCCTATTTCCATGAAGGTTCAATCATGTTTTATCTGACCGCAGTATGTTCTGTTGAAGGCCACCGTAGTCACCAGATGATAATAACAACTTCAAATGAAGTAAGAAGCAGTAGGAGATGGACTTTGAAGCAATATAAAAGTCATTTTTACTGCTAAAATTTCTGGAAGCAAACCAATGAAGGAAAAATATTACTAGTGTCAGAAAATATATCCAGAAGGATGATTTCTGCCTAGAAACAATTCAATATATTTTAAGGCATTTATGGATATTTAATGCAACCACAAAGAACTTATATGACATTTGGTACTGGGTTTTTTTTAATCCCTTATATCCAAAGGAGAAAGTTGATTATTAATATCTTCCCCTAACGTTATACTTCTGCTTTGTGCATACAATTTTACTGGTTAACAATATCTAAGAATGCAGTATATATCCATCCCTTATTTTATGGATTTGGACACCATATTTTAATTTGGTTATTTAAAAGTATCGTGAAAAACAGTTTGAACTCTAAGTTTTCTTTTTTTTTAATAGCAATTTTAGATTAGAGGTATAATTGAACCTGACAAAAGGAAGGAGGCAAAATATAAAAAATACTGTTTTTAAACTAACTGACTTGTCTAGAGCAAAGGCCCTTCCAGATATTAGCTCATATATATTCTCTTTTTTTATACATGATTTAGAAAACTTTACTGAATATTTGACAGTGGGTGAAGAAGCACACGAATTTGTCGCAGAACTGAAGGAGCCTGGGAAATACAAGTTATCAGTGACAACCTTCAGTTCCTCGGGATCTTGTGAAACGCGAAACAGTCAGTCAGCAAAATCACTCAGCTTCTATATCAGTAAGTACCAAAGAAATTATCTTGCATTTACAGGGGAGCTAGAACAATGGAACTGCTGAGATTAATGATACTCAGGCACCAATTATACATCAAACCTTAGAGACCCTGAGAATTTTTCAAGGTCATGAGAGGCCCGGATGCGTGAGATTTTGACAGCGGAGGAAATAAATGTATGTTTAATAGTAGCAACCCTACCTCCGGATTTAACTGGAGGATTTTTATTATTATTATTATTGTGATACTTGAACATGTATTCAACTGACCTTCCACACTTGCCATAACAAACTCTCCAAGAACGTGGACACCCAGTTTTGGAAATAGGACTTTTGTGTGAGGCCATGATAAAAATTGATATGGCTGGACTCTGTGAAAAGTCTCATTAGAGTATTGAGCTTGGGGAGCTTCAAAGAAAGCCAGAGATTCAAGTGTAGTAAGACCTAGGTGGTCTCCAAAAGTTAGCGCAAGACTTAAGCCAGAGCATCATAAAAGCCCCAATATCAAGACTTAGGGCAGATTCTTCTGATTCCATAAGGGATAATAGCAGGGCAACAGCTCATCTTTAAAATCTACACAAATAGTGCGTGTCTGTCATGTTTTTTGCTAATCTGACTATACTTACTAGAAGTTTAGAGGCCAAAAATCAGTTTCCTAGTTTACAAGGAGATAAATGTGTCTCTGATCAGCAGAAAGAAAAACCAGAAGGTAATGGATAAAAACTGCTTTCCACAAAGGATGACCACTGTATCTCCTCCAGAGGCAAGATACTACCTTTCATCAAAGGATCCCCAAACAGATGGGTGGGGGAAAGAGGAGGGGACAGAGGGAAGAGATCTGTTTCTTTAGCAACTTAAAAATGTTGAAAATATCCCACATAACCATTTTACTTAAGAAACAAAAAATGTCACCACTGGTGACCACCAGACATGCGGAAAAAATGCCTGTGACTGCCTTGCATGTCTGTCAGTTACGGGAGATCTTTGATGTGATATCACTTCAGAACGAGAGGCAAGCTTAGTGCTGAGCTTTCCCCCATGAGGCTAAAAATGTTTCATTAACCCAGAGATTTCCTTCTGCCAATACAGAAGCCCTGAAAGTTCCAAGAAAACTCCCACAACTCTTCTGGCCATTAGCTCTTCCCTTCTCTGAATTTCTACTGTGTTTCCTAGTGTACAACACAAAACACAGAGCTCATCTGAGTGTGGTATTTTTCCGGATCAATTCTATTTGTGTACATCTTGCTTCTCATACCAAGTTGTAAAACCTTGGCTGGGGTCATCCTATTTGCTTATTTATTAATTTTGTTGTACATTCAACAGATACTTATTGAACCACTTTCCGATGTCAGGTACTCTGGTCTACTCTTAGAGCATCCAAATTGACCAGAGCTGCTGAGAAAGTGTCAGATTGCTCAAAAATATGACTGTTTCAAAGAAATGCATATTAATATTCATCTAGAAAAATATACAGCACTAGAAATTTTGCATTTTCTCTGCCAATAAAAGAATGTTTTCAGAGCTTCAGATATTTTTTTCTGCAATAATGAGTTATTCAGGTGTACTGTGTATATATCTTTGATTTTAAAAGGATACTGTATTTATGTAGTTTTGAAGGCTTTGCTCAGAGACGAAAATTAAGGTAGAAATTTGCATTAGTCTCCAACAGTCTTATGAAGGGAACATTTGTTTTATCCCATTTTTCAGGTGAAAATAAAAATTGAGTCAGAAAGTGTAGTGACTTTCCCTAGTGTCAGGACGAGAATTAGACTCTAGCAATATTTTATAGCAAAGTCCATTTCCACGGAGCCTGGAGTGACCTATCACCTTGGGTTGATAATCAGGTCAGTCCAAATGTAAAATCGTTAAGTGAGTGAATTTGTTTTGCTTCCCATCATCTCTCCCTATGTCCCTAGCACCCCAATAATATGTATAATTGTAATAACACTTCATATTTAAACAGTTCTCTAACACATTATAATCTCATTCGATCCCAAAAACAGTCTTGTGAAGCAGGCTAATCAGATGGCATCATGGTAACTTATCACAAAGCCCTGACCCAGAAGACAGGAGGGGTGGGTGGGTTCCCAGGCACTTACTACTTCTGTGACATTGGCTGGTCATTCATATCTCTAGGCCCCGTTTCCTCATCAGGAGAATAAGGCATTACAACTCTAAAGTCCTTTTCAATCCTAACGTTCTGTGACTTGTCCATCTGACAGATGCATGACTGGGATTCAGAGAAGTTAATCATTCGCCCAAGGTTGCATCACTAATAATGAGCAAAACCGACTTTGCGGCCAATTTTCCTGTCTCCAAACACAAGCTTTTCACTGTTTCATGGTAGCTCCAGGAACTTTCATACAAGGGATTAAGAGCATGGATTTTGGAACCTGACTTCCTGTGTGTGAATTTCAGCTCTACTTAAGGCTACCTCTGCTTCAGTTTTCTCATCTGAAAGCAATGTTAATACTAGTATTGATCTGACCTCATGGATTAGTTTAAAAAGTAAAGGATTCAAATATGTAAACACACATAAACTTAAAACAGAGTCTGGCCGTAGCTCTGTGCCATCATTTTTATCATTATCATTTTTATTGTTATTTCCCCTGCCTCATTTACTGTGAGCCTGGGACTGCCCTCCCCAACAGACCCTTCTCCTCTCCTGGGCTCCAGGAATACAGCTTCCTAGGAAAGAACTGAGAAATGTATCCTAAGTAAATAAAAGAACTGGCATTTTAACAGGGGCTTTTGGGAGATAATAATCACCTTAACGTTTCTTGGGTCCTTACTACGTGTCAGGCACTGTGTTAATAACCACTTTGGAAATTCAAGAGAACAAAGCTAATGGCGGGCACTTTGGGGGCGTATTTTATAGTGAGGAATCCACCGTGTCCTCAAATTACCCCCCACCCCTTGTTAAAAGAGAAGTAAATTCCTTCTGGTGAAGAACTTACCAGAACAGTCTCAGATGCACGTAACAAACGAAGTGGAGCTCCTGTCTCAGCGGAACTGGTTTTGCTGCGGCCGCCACGCTGTTGCTCGGGTTAATGGCTGGTCACCCAGTGGAGGCTGCTGCTAAGCAGAGGATGTAAAACCCTGTCAGTCTGGCTGCCAGTTTAACTTTGAATATCCAAGAGCAAAAGGGACACAACCTGATTTTTAAAACTAGAATCTTGTAGCTCAACCAACTCAGCGTGAAACCTCCCTTGTGCTCTGATTCGCAACGTCCAGGCCCTTCGGGAGAGTGGATTGAAGAACTCACCGAGAAGCCCCAGCACGTGAGCGTCCACGTTCTGAGCTCCACCACGGCCCTGATGTCCTGGACGTCTTCCCAAGAGAACTACAACGGCACCATCGTGTCTGTGGTGTCACTCACGTGCCAGAAACAGAAGGAGAGCCAGAGGCTAGAGAAGCAGTACTGCACTCAGGTAGCGCAGAGGCGGGGCGGACGGGCTCGCGCACCCCGCGCATCACGGCCCCGCGG